TCAAACCTTTTCATATTCATCATCTTCGATTCGGACTTTGAAGCATTAGCAACACCTCAAATGTTTTCCTTATCAGGAGTTCGCGTTTTAATTATATTCCAAAGCGCAATCGCACGACTAGGCAAAGTGCCAGCAGCGCTGCGCTGCTAGTACAAACGCGATAGGGAGTCTGCGCCGCAAGTAGCATTCTAGGCGGAGCATGGAGGAATTATCGTGTTTCACGGTCCTGTATCTCCATTCCTGCGCATGTTAGGACGGGGAAACCGCTACGCTTCGACAGCTGGGGGCTGATAGTCACGCACACCCAAACTATGTGTGATCGTACCATGTGTCTTTAGCTCGACATTTCACTCGGCGCATTCATTTATTCTCGAATTCGAGAGCGCTGCAAACATCTGCAATAGTTAGGAAAACAACGAGCAATTGCTTACTGAAGTGAGTCCGGCATGACTGTCGTGAGATACTTGAAGCGTTCATTGTCGCTGAATATAGAATCGATCAGGAAACCCCATCCAAGCATGGTCTTCTTGTAGTATGTCGACATGTAGCCCATGATTTCCGCCGCTGAACAGATTTGATTCTCTTCAATCTCTAGAGATAAGAGGCTGAGACACCCAGGTTGAAGCTTCTTACCTGAAGGAGAGCGGCCCTGAGGCCGGTAAACCCCAAGCGTGTGAGATCAACATGCCTAGCAGAACGGAAATCCCGTGAGCAGGCGCCAGGTTGCGCCTCTCCCAAAAAAGGCACCTCACAGCGACTGCGACATACTGACCCGAACGCCCATCGCAACCGCCCAGCCAGCAAATACCCGACCGCCCGACCGTTCCGCTTCATTCAGGAGCAATGACTGCACTTTTGGACAACTTAGCAACGTACTACCCTCGCGGCACACAAAATGATTCGGAAACTTTGTAAAGTCATATCCGGACTGTTTTGGAAGGCTCAGTTCAGCCTCACACTTTCTTCTATCTAGCTACCCAAAACGATTACCCGGAAAGAATCTTTCCAATACACTGGAGAAAATATTGAAGCCTACATAGATAATCTGAAAGAGTTGAACTAACGCGGTGGACATGGGGGACCAATGATGAGATCCACATTCCTTCTGACCATGTATTCCAACGCATGTCCGACAGCCAATTCAGAGCTGCATTCAGTGTAGTTCACCACAAACCTGAAAAGTTAAATGCCACACTGACATTCCAGATATGCCAACCCTCTCTATTACGATGCTCCAGGCAGAGGAGCTCTTTGGATTCAAGGCTCACCGTCGTTGAGATTCCCCAGTGAGAGGTCGTACCTGTTCTTTGAGGTGACGGAGGGGGAAGGGGGGGGGGGGGGAGCGGGCGCAGTGAAGAGGCAGTCAAATCGAAACAGAGCGCAGAGGTGTCAAAAGCCCAGTCAATAAAAAAGTTTTTTCTGAACCCTATGAATTTATCTTCTTGCGCTGGCAGACATCGCGTAGAACACCATACAACTACCTCTGGGAGATCCAGTGCATGGCGCATTCAGAGAGGAAGCTAGTTGGAGCTGAAGCAACCACTGCCTAATTCTGCTTCAAGACGGGATCCGTTCTAGATGCACTTTCGAGTGTTCAAATACTCCCACATTAAATGGTACGCGGGGAATGGGTTTCTCGCGCTCCTCGGAACTTTCTTCGACAAACCACTGGCGCATTTAGTAAATGAGCCCCGGAAACTTTAGAAACAGTTTTTTCTTTCAAAAATGTCAGTTTTTTCCCCAAACTAAAAAGTTCGCATTTTATTTTAACACAGAACCGCCATTGTACGAGGATATCATTTCGTCACGTCTTCGAATGCGGATGATCAAAATTTCAATCTGTTTTTCTTCACATAGTGTAAACTCTTTGCTTAGCAAACACATATCCTCGTACCTTGCGAGTAGACCTTTGAAGCGGCGCAGAGAGCACAATGTATTAGGTTGTCCGGAAAGTTCTTAGCGTTTTGTGCACCTAATCTTTGTACATTCACTGCTGATTAAAAACTCATTCTGCCTTGCTTCTCAGTAGCACATCCTGTAGAGAATTTCTTGCGCTATCTGATGGTATAATTGCCGTTTCACCCATCCTTCTATTCTATAAAGCAGTAATTCTGTGTGTCGGTTTGTCGGTATGTAAAGGTATTATGTATGTCCGTCCGCAAAATGCTTCACGGGTTCGAGTTCGCTGGAGGCGAAAACGACCGCTAGGCAAACAGGCAAATCGGTGCGGAAGTATCAATCCAATGTTTTGATCGTGATATCGGCCTCCGCTATATAAGACAACCATTCGGTACACTCCGAGCCATTGCACGAGCTGCTGGCGTGGCAGCTGGACGTGTGCTCGTGCGGGGGCAGGGTGGGGTGGGGCCGAGAGGGGGGCACTGGGCGCCCCCCCCCCCTCTGCTTCCTTCCCCTGCGCGTGCTCAGCCCGATCTGAGCATGCGCAAGAGAAGGAAGCAGAGGGACGGTCCGACTGGAACACTGGGGCGTTTGTTCAAGGTATGATATAGGTTACGGCACAGGAATATGTGGGTGACAAGAACTGCTAGCTGCTGATAAGGGGAATTAGAGTGGAAAGGACAACATACTCATAACGCGGGACACAGCATCATAGGCGTTGATTTCAGCAAATGATAGGAGAAGGCGACGGCGGGTGACAGGAAATGATAACAGCTGATAAGGCCTGATAGAGAAAGATGCAGTCGTTGTTCAATCAAATGTTGGAGCCTCTACGCGAAATTATGGAGTTTTGGTGATAGCGACATTGATGACGGGTGACAAGCAATTTTATCAATTGATAAGCAAAGATAAGGGGACAATCTCACGACATCTCTGACCACTACACTGCCAAAAAGCCTCTCAGTAAGCGAAATTTTCCCACAGCCATCACTCCTCTGATAGCACTAAAAATGTACTCATCCCACTAGGGGGGTATATACTTCGCCTGAAACAGGAAGTTTGGAAAAATCAAAAACTCCAATATTGGAACACACTTTATGCGTTCAGTGAGTATTCAAATATTTTTTTTGCTTTTCAACTTTAAACACTGATGAGAACGTATAACGAAGTAGTTTGTAAGATATTCAATGAACATATTGTCATCTGCAGCCATTCATGCAACCATAGCAGGTGGATTGCATGTTAATGACAAGTCAATTGCCCATCGTTGCTGTTGTGATGCAGGTAATAAAAACGGAATTTGTTCATCTACTGTGCAACACATATTGATATTCTGTACTTCCTATCTATTTCTGAGATCTACGTATAGAATGGGCGTTATGGCCGAAACCACACGCCTTCCGCAACTCTGAGGGGTGCAGATTTCGCTAGGTTACTCTGTCTATTATGATTCGACCACTACCGCGCAATATGAGCAGCTCATGCAATTAACTAAATATGTGCGCCTGGCGAAGCCAGGCCAGCTCGGCGAAGCCGAGCTAAAAAGAAGGAGGAGAGCTCGGCGTCAGCCGGGCGATCCGACTGGTTGCTTGATAAAACCCTTTTTTCAAGATTTTTTCAAGCATGTGAAAAGAGCACTTCGGACGATTTTTTTCTTCGGCTATAAATTGGGGCAATCCGCAATCGAAACAGCTCAACAAATTAACCAGGTGTGGAGGCCCAATAGTGCTAGAGAAAGCACTGTGCCGCAATGGCTCAACAAATGTCGTTCTGGAAATTTCAGCCTTGAAGGTGAGCCTCATAGCGGTCGACCTAAAGCAATATCTGACGAGGATTTTAGGGGGATTTTGAAGGTTGACCCATCCCAAACAGTTCGAGAGATAGCAGAAGAGCTAGGCCTTGGCAAATCCACTGTTGCAGATGGTCTGGAACGCATTGGGAAGGTGAAAAAACTCGACAATTGGGTGCCCCACAATCGGAGTGACCGGCAGGAATCGGCACGTCTCGAGGTTCCTTCTTCACTGCTTTTGCGCAAAAGAATTGACCCGTTTTTGAACGGATTTGTCACCTGTGATGAAAAATGGATCATGTATGATAACAGGAGACGTTCCGGACAGTGGTTGGATTTGGAGGAACCACCGAGGTAATTTTCAAAGCCGAACCCTCGCGAAAAAAAAATTCTGGTCAGGTTGGTGGTCATCGGCTGTTGTAATCCACTATAACTTTTCATCACCAGGCCAAACCATCACAGCAGAACCCTACTGTGAACAAACCGACCAAATGTACCGAAAATATTGTCAGCTGCAGCCAACACTTATCAAAAGAAAGGGTCCGATTCTTTTGCATGACAACGCCCGCCCACACGTTTCACAAATCACTATCCATAAATTGAACGAATTGGGAGTTGAAGTTCTACCTCACCCACCATATTCTCTAGACCTTTCACCAACCGACTGTCACCTTTTCAGACATTTTCCAGAAAGCTTTCGCTGCTGAGAAATACTTCATCAAACAGGACCAGGCAAAAAAGACCTTCGCAGATTTCGTGGATTCTCGACCACCCAGTTTTTTTTGATGGGATTTCTCGACTGCTGCCACATTGGCAAAAGTGTGCTGATTCGAATGGTGCTTATTTGGATTAAATCCGATGAGTGTTAAGAAAGTTATGATCGTTTAAAGTTAAACACCCAAAACGCTAAGAACTTTCCGGACAACCTAATAACATAACTTGTGTGTCACGCGTCCGAATTGTGTCAAAAATCCCATGATATCTCATGTCAGGCAGCATATGTATACTATAGTATTTGTTAGAGAGTTCAGATGTAGCTCCTCACAGCTGGCTCCCCAACAATACACTTTTGATGGAGATGTGGCTCTTCAAACCAAAGTGCCTCACTCAGAGATATACTGGTAAATATGCTCTGACTTCAGCTGCTACTCGAACTTTTTCCGCGCACGTGACAGGTATGTCCACCCTGGTACCTGTAGTAATAGTAGAGCGTTCGGGAGTGTTGAAGATCCCCAACTAGCTTAATAACAGCACTGGTAGGAACTAATGAATAATCGTTATAGAACAAGTCATTTCCATATTTTTAAGTGTGGGCCGTATGGTTTTTTATGGGAGCTGAAGTACTAAGACATGTACTGGGTTTCATTTGCGCTCAGGTCTCCGTGTAAGTGAAGGTCAATTCATTCGTACAGTTTTTTCAGATGGACGATGTTCACTGCTCGAAGGTGCTAAGGACTCAAAGGGAATTCTTGGTTTAGCATGCATTCTTCCGTGTATCCTCCAAAAAAGCTCCATACATATAGAACCAGTAGAATCGCCCAGCTGACGCCGAGCTCTCCTCCTTCTCTTAGCTCGGCGTCGCCGTGCTGGCCTGGCTTTGCAGGCGCGCTCCATATGTTTAACGGGCTTTTTCAAGAGTGCGCTGTCAGTGATCGAATCGTAGCAGACAGAGCAAGGCTTAGGATCCCGCACTACATAGCACACTCTCCTACATGCAGAGGGGGTGCGGTCCGCGCCACAACGCCCATTATCTGCTAGATATATATATATATATATATATATATATATATATATATATATATATATATATATATATATATATATATATATATATATATATATATATATATATATATATATATATATATATATATATATATATATATATATATATATATATATATATATATATATATATATATATATATATATATATATATATATATATATATATATATATATATATATATATATATATATATATATATATCCTTGTTTGCTAGGGTTAAATACAATGGCTATATATATATAGCCAATTGTATTAACCCTAGCAAACAAGTCACCAATAATTCGTTCGGAG